CAAGACGATACTGCTGACTGAGTCGTTTCGAGTGCTTTGAGTCGCGAAAAGGTGACACAGTGCAGGTAATTATTTTGAAATCTAATCGGTTAGAGAGTGGGACACATAAAATGGGATTTCCGTTTCGGAAATTCCCGGGGATTTTTATGACCCTAATATTGCCCAACCGCTACCTAAGGAAGGCAAATTACTAACGAGTGCCCCTGTATTAATTTTACACGAAAATAACTGCATATCGATTGAAAAAATCGACAAACGCATATATGCGCCCTTATGTGAAAACACATAAATGCGGCCTTAGGTTACACGGATGACTTTCGCCAAACGCATATATGCGTCTATGGAGCTCTAAGGGTTAAGGGTCCTAGGGATCTCAAAAAGGTCCGCAACAGTATTCCCCTGGAATCCAGGAACGCGAAAGACCCAGGATTCCCAAAGACACACCCGTAGGAACGGGGAGGCCCTAGGATTCGCAAAATGTTCCGACCGAGAACCCCAATAATTCTAAATCTACACGGACAAAATCTGAGATCGGCTTCGCAAAAACCACTTTGCTACTCTTTAACACCCTGTCTTCCTTCTAAATTCTTCCGAAACACGAGAGAGAGAGGTGTGCTCAACGAGACGAGGTGACCCGGGTTTCAAATCGGGTTCTGGTTCCCCTCTGACCCGAATTCGGAGCCATCCGTAACCGTAGCCTCTTCGAATCTGACCGTAGACGAGAGTAAAGTGCCGTACGGTTACGTGTCTCCGTCCCCCTACGGACCAGTCGGATACGGGCCAGGCGTAGGTGTAGGTCCGGTCACAGTTCCTAGCGATGTACCCGGCTACGACGAGGGCCACCCGGTCCCCCTATCGTCGGGAGTACCACCAGGAATGTTCGAGGACGAGGTCCACCTTCAACGGCTACAGTCGCGGCACCCGGTGGTGCCCGGCATGGCGAGCCCGTTGGACGACGACCAGAAGTCGATGAGATGGCGGGACCCGAACCTGTCCGAGGTGATCGGGTTCCTGAGCAATCCGAACAACATCATCAAGGCGAACGCCGCCGCGTATCTGCAGCATCTCTGCTACATGGACGACCCGAACAAACAGAAGACGAGAAGCCTGGGCGGGATCCCACCGTTGGTCCAGTTGCTGGATCACGATAATCCGGACGTTTATAGGAACGCCTGCGGGGCGTTGAGGAACTTGTCTTACGGCAGACAGAACGACGAGAACAAGAGGGCCATCAAGAACGCCGGCGGTGTGCCGGCCTTGATCAACTTGCTTCGCAGGACATCGGACGCCGACGTGAAGGAACTGGTCACCGGGGTTTTATGGAACCTGTCGTCCTGCGAGGTAAGTCGACGCGTTCGTCGTCGTCGTCGTTGTCATAGTTCTGTTCGGGTCTCATAGTTTGTTCGACGATTCTTTCAGGACCTGAAGAAGTCCATCATCGACGACGGGGTCACGATGGTGGTGAACAATATAATCATACCGCACAGCGGCTGGGACCCCAGTTCTTCCAGCGGAGAGACCTGCTGGTCCACGGTCTTCAGGAACGCCTCGGGGGTCCTGAGAAACGTCTCCAGCGCCGGGGAGTACGCGAGGAAAAAGCTGAGGGAATGCGACGGCTTGGTCGACGCGCTGCTCTACGTGGTCCGGTCGGCCATCGAGAAGTCGAACATCGGCAACAAGATCGTGGAGAACTGCGTCTGCATCCTGAGAAACCTGAGCTACCGGTGTCAAGAGGTCGAGGACCCGAACTACGACAAGCATCCCATCCAGTCGACCGTGCAGAACAGGGTGGCGGCGCCCGCCAAAGGTGAGAATCCGTTCCCGGTTCTCGTTGCATTCTAGGGAATGAGAGTACCTTTGCGAAGACACGCGGGTTTACTCAGTGGGCATGCGGCGAGACACGCATGCGGCCGAATGGTGTGTGCGGATGATAAGCGGTTGTACCTTTATCCCGAGAGATAAGATAACGGAGGAAGTGCGTACTTGCGCCGCGGCCGTGTCCAAAGGTTTTAGCTTCGGGGGATATTTATGGGCACGAGATAGCGTTAATTGCTCGGCCGTACAATGGACCGTTTCACTTCTAGTCCATCGGGTTCCGTAATTAATCCGGAGATTCGAAGGAACGGCGGGATACTTCGAGGTGTAATGAATCGTGTGTACTGTGTTTACGGATAAACGCGCGCATTGTCGACAACCTGTTTCCCCTTCGGACCTGTTAAGAGCCGTTCGGAACGTTTCCTAGAGGAACGTGGAACGGAGTGAAATTTTTCTGACAAAATATCCCTCTACCCCTTCCTTGTCGTCCTTTCCTCTTCCCTATATATTCGGACCCCCGTTTCTTTTTGCGTTGTACCGCCTACCTTTTTTTTTATTATTATAGACTTGTCGGTGCATCGACAAAATATAGGCTGACAGAATGATGCACCGACAACAAGTATAAAGTCCTCGAACGTGTAGCGTCTATAGCTAGCTATCTGTAATCCGGTGAAGAAAGAATGATAATTCAAGGTTTATACTCGGTTAGATAACACTAGGATAGACGAGCGTAGCTTTCGTTTTAGATAAATAAGTTGACCGGACGCTTGGGAAGGTCTCTCTGTACAGTAATCATATTGACAATGTGTTTTTTGATACCCTTATTTGATTGTGCAAAGTAGTAATTAGAACTTGTAGCTATAGCCCCCCCCCCACCCTACACTGAGTCTATCAAGACGGTTTCTGACCTGTGTACACTTTCCGTTTGTTGTGATGCTTACGTCTTTGTCTGAAGTTGTTGTTGAGACCGCTTAAACGTTTGATGGAACCAGCGCGCGTGTGTGTGTTTGCGGCAGAGACGCGACCACATTGTCGGAAACAATGATCCTCCTGGCACACGACGGTTAGCAAAGACCCCTGTGTTCCCTCATCGGGCATATTGTAATTGGCTTGGGTGTCCTCTGTTGTTAATTTGGTACCTATCTCACCTGCCACACCGTCCTGATTTGTTTCGTAGATTCTCTCTCTCTCTCTCTCTGTCTCGTGTGTCTCGAGTTCCTTTTCTGTTTTCCGTTCAAAGACTAAATTCGAGATCGGTGTACAACGGGTTCGAAATGAAACCGACGTTACACCCTTCCTAGTTCAGCATGGATTAAAATGTGTTTCAATCTTTTTAGCGTACAGTTTATGTCAAGGTAAGACATTCTTGTAATTCCACTGCTAGCCATATATAGTCCTCTCGGTTTTGCATCGAATCGAATTCGCTAGAGCATGCTTCGCTTTTCAATGGTTGCTCGTCGATGTTATCGAGAGCCCCGCCGATAAGGTGCTGGATCGAGCTTTACTCGAGCTTAGAGGCATGCAAGAGTTATCACAATCCGAAAACAACTCACATCGTCGTCGTCGTTGTCGTCCCCTTTATCATTGTTCCAACATGAACTCCCTTGGCCACACTTTGACTTTTATCTGTATCTAGAGAAACGATACTTGCTGCGTTCAATCCTCGCTTTTTAATGTATATACATAGACAATTAGATTAAGAGTTCTTTCATTGTAGAGGCTTTGTTATCTGTGCATCCGTAGTGCATTTTGAAAATATAATTGTTTTACCCAGGCACGGACACAGATTGCCCTGAGGGGCCGCGAAACCACGCCTAGCCGACGAGGCCACGCCCACTCTGAGCATCTGAGCCAATGCTTGGCGCCCCCCAGGGCGTCAGAACTACTTGTTCATGCCTGGACTACTCGGACAATACTTTGCCAACGAGTTGTCGTTAACAAAAGTAGCGCGAGCAATCAAAATCTAAATGCACAATGCAATTCTTTCGGCCTTCGAGAATCGAATATTCGAATCAAGTAGCACTATTCGCGTTAGGCTCCATGCAGCTATCGACACGCTACGCAGCGAGTCAGCTTCCGAAATACTGTCAATCCCGAATCTCTGTGCTTTAGGTGAGAATCTGGGTTGCTTCGGCGGCAGCAAGAAGAAGAAGGACGGCCAGCCGGTGCAGAAGGAGACCACAGCCTCGCGCACGACCAGTCCTAGGACAGAACCGGTCAGAGGCATGGAGTTGCTCTGGCAACCAGAGGTGGTGCAGTCCTACCTGAAGCTGTTGCAAACTTGTTCAAACCCGGAGACACTCGAGGCAGCTGCCGGGGCTCTTCAGAACCTCGCGGCTTGCTACTGGCAGCCGAGCATCGAGATTCGTGCAGCTGTGAGGAAGGAGAAAGGACTTCCCATTTTGGTAGAACTGCTGCGAATGGAGGTACGAAAACTGTAGAAATAATATTGTTGCGAATTACACCATTTCTCTCGCGTCGCAGCATTTTATTTACAATAAAGAATATTAACTATAACACAATTCGATACAAATACAATTCAGATCTTTCAGAAGTGGGATGTTGATGGTTCGACGGTCCGATCTCGACTTCTGAAAGATCTGAATTGTATTTGTATCGAATTGTGTTATAGTTAATATCCTTTATTGTAAATAAAATGCCGCGACGCGAGATAAATGGTGTAACAATTCAGATCTTTCAGAGTCGAGATCGGACCGTCGAACGATCAACATCCCACTTCTGAAAGATCTGAATTGTTATTGTATCGAATTGTGTTATAGTTAATATTCTTTATTGTAATTCGCAACAATATCTAACGAGATTCTGAGAGAGACGGCGGACTGATCGAACGAATCGATGTTATTTCTAGGTGGATCGTGTGGTCTGCGCGGTGGCCACGGCGCTCAGGAACCTAGCAATAGATCAACGTAACAAAGAATTGATAGGGAAGTACGCGATGCGAGATCTCATCCAGAAGCTACCGTCTGGCAACAACCAACACGACCAGGGAACGAGCGACGACACCATCGCCGCCGTTCTGGCTACTCTGAACGAAGTTATAAAGAAGAACGCCGAATTCTCGCGGTCACTGCTGGACGCCGGTGGCGTGGACAGATTAATGAACATCACCAGGCAACGCCAGAAGTACACGCCTCGTGTTCTTAAATTTGCAGGCAAGAGAAACGGGACACTTCGATCTTCGAGCCACGAGTCCCGGAACAGTCTAATTAAATTGATAAAACGTTTCAGGACAAGTATTATTCACCATGTGGCAGCACCAAGAACTGAGAGACGTCTACAAGAAGCACGGATGGAAGGAGCAAGATTTCGTGACGAAAACGGTGGCGGCACGAAATTCAGGGCCTAATTCACCCAACAATGCAAATAGGTAATCAACGTTTACACTATCGCGGACCATTTCTTCTTTTTTTTATGTCTTTATGGTTCAATCCGATTTCATTTTCGAATAGTCAAAGTTTCCGTTTGTTTTTCTTTGAGTTCTTGGACTCTGCGGTTGATCGTTCAGTGTATGCTTTAGAATCTTTTTCTAGACGTTTTGTTTTTCTAGTATGTTCAGTAATTTGAGTTGAGCAGAGTCCTAATTCGTTTTGGAACATTGCCGGCACTACGTTGAAATATAGCTATGATTGTAGCACTCTGAACCGACCGATGGCGAGCCAAGGGAGCACCAGATACGAGGACCGAACGATTCAAAGAGCGAATATGAATTCTAATAACGTTGGTCGACCGAATATATATCAGTCTGTAAGTAACAACAACTAAATGGCACTGTTGATGAACACGTTTGGGGTAGGTTCCACCGGTAGGTTTTAGGGTACCATGTTTCTCAGTGAAAGTTAAAAAAAAAAAAGGAAAGAAAAGAAAGGAAAAGGAAAAGAAAAGCAGTAAAAACAGAAAAGACCAGGACACGGATTCGTGTTCGGGTCGACTAGACTGTTTATTCGATTATTATGTTTGTTTACATCGCAGTTACCACGATTTCTCATTAACGAATGACTAACGGTAAAAAGAAAAAAAGAAAAAAAAGATGGAGAACGAAAGAAATTAATAATATTCGAACAAACGTCCAGAAGAGAAGTTTTTAAACGGAACTAATGTTTAAACTAAGAGTTTTTTCTTTGCAAATTGAGTCTTCCTCTTGTCAGTATCGGTGCAGATCAACCTATATCTATATAGACGAGATTCTACATACATATGTACACCCATTCTTGTTTCGATAAAAATGAAAAATAGAAGATGCTAATCGAGCGGTTTGCACAGAGATTGATTTTGTTGATTTTTCTCGTTTTTGTTAATTTTTATATTATATATACGTACGAGATCCGCGCGACGCGCATTTCTCTATACGAAATGCTCGTGGGAATACTTAGAAGAGATATATCGCATTATTACGTATGTACGGGACGATACGGTCATAATCAGCATTGTGACGCCTATAATAATCACGACACTTTATTTATAATATTTATCCGCTTGCACGAGGAACAGACAGGGCCGCGAATATCATTACACACGGAGGCATGTGAACGAGGAGAAAAAATTCGGATTAGTTGTGATAAACAGAGAGAAAGAGAAAGAGAGAGGGAGAGAAAGAGGAACCGCAGTTACTTAACGAACATTTATAAGTGTATAAACTAAGTCAATTAACGAGTACCAATTATCACCACGTGTTTTATGCTAAAAAAAGATAAAAGGAAAACGGCATTTGTTAGCGCAGTATTACTGTAGAATCGTGTGCGGTACGCATCAAAACAGTCCATTGAATTATCTAACAATTTTTACACAATAATCTACACAATTATAATAACAATATGTAGTAGGGAAAAAAGCATTGTTATCGGGTAACGAACAGAATTTATATCACATGGACAAGTGCATCCGCGGTCTAGAAAATGAAACGATATTCGTCGATAGAAACGTTAAGCCTCCGTTGCACAATTTGTTTCTGCATTTCATGGAAATACCGTTTTCCCTCCGCAACGTCGCGGCGACCGTGGGTTGTGACGAACGGCTGCCACGCCCCCCGTGCATTCTCGCCGCTGCTTTATAGTTAGCGGCGAAGCAGAATGGGCGGTGCTAGAGCAACGACGCTACGGAGGAAAAGCTTCATCACTCGTCATCCGATGATCATTCATCATGGCACGCGAGTTGTTCTTGATTTCCATGGACTTTCCTATGCAGATTTTTCTAGACGATAAGAGAAAGTCACGCTGTAACGAACGTAGACTCGAACGGAACTTGTTTCGTCGTCGTCGTCGTCGCGGTTCGCGCGACGAGTAGAGAAATCTTCCTTTCAGTTAAGCCTATAAACTTGCAGTAGCCGTGTTAAGGTGTAGAGTTAGAGCCGTGAAAGTCCAGTTAGTAATGTTTGATACCCAGGAAGGATCGCAGGCGTTTGCCTCTGAACGGCATTCGACTATTTATGCTGTAGACTATAGCAGGACGAAGCACGAGTCTATGCACGAATTAATTATACGAAAGAGTTAAAGAGTCAGATTGTTAACTTAGCGTTGAAGTGTGTCTTGCATAATTCTATGATTGTATAAGAAGAGTAGGTATTACAGGACCAAAATACTTCAAGTTCTTTTTATCATCGACGGGGGGCACGCTCGGCCATCAACATGTACACCACGATCCAGCAGCGTTCATTCAGGATTCTCTAATTTTCATCACATTATCGATATACATATATATATGCTACAGAACTCTCGGAACAATTATTCGACACGTGTCTTTTCGTTTCGACTTCCGCCACGCGTGGACAGATTTTGCGAGACTCAATTTGTTTGGAAAACGTCTGACCGAAAGGAGGGGAGGATACGTGTAGAATATTTTCTGGGGTTGTTTCACGTTGTACAGAAGTCCGCCCCGTGCGCGACTGTACGGGGGCGCAAGTGATTTTCAGACACCGTTCGAAAGAAAAGCGCACAAAGGTTGACGCTCGCTGCCCGGTTAAACAGTAATTAACACAACTCTAACGGTAGAAGTAGCGTGTATTCACTTGTTTGAAGGGATCCCATCGAACCTCTGTCCCTCCATGGACGTAGAGATCTCGAGGACTCGGTTTTCACTCGTTACCTAAGTGATCATAGTCTATATTACTAAGTAAGAAAAGTAAACACACCGAAGAAACAGAAGTAATCAGTAGACCGAGATTAATTACTATACAACAGAGAGACACACAGAGAGAGAGAGACACGTACATATTCACACACACACACATGCACACTCATACATACAGTACGATCAGTTCACAGTAAGCAGGGTAATGTACAAGCACAACAAGAGTCTCTTTACACACTGACATGATTGTGTGTTAAGTTCTTCCTCGGAGGTCCACTCCGAACATCCAATTTTACACGGTGTTACATCGTTACACACGTTGTTGAATCCATATAGCAATTGAACAAATGAAAAAAGAACAAAGCGGCAGCACCGAGAGGAACTGAAACAGAAATAATGTCAAAGAAGAGTTGTTACGATATAAGTTCTTTTTATACACATCCGTTAAGCGACATTTATTGTACGAGAGAAAGGCTAGACGCACCACAAAAGCATGGTTTATAATGATACGTTGACTATTGCACGAACTTATTTATAATCTATTTATATCCAAATTAATCGAGCATAATAAAAGAGTATCTGACAGTATACACCTACTCTATTCTGTCCGGCGCACTTGGTGCGCGAATCCGTGAAGAAACGCCTCTTTCAACGAGGTCCTCTTCCAACCGGAATGATCCTAACACTCTGAAGTTTTGTTACATTTTTCCAAGCAGCACCGTCGAAACACCTCGAACATTCTCTCTCACACGATTCGTCCCGAATTGCTGGAGCACAGTCATTGGTTCCCGCAATTGGTCCCACCCTGCAAGCCACGCCCAGTCCCAGTCCCGCCCCTGCAAGCCACGCCCAGTAAAACCGAGAAGCCAAAAGATAAGATTGAACGAACTCGATCGAATGGAGCACACTTTCCCCGGGTCCTAAGGATCCAGGTGCCGGGCCCATCCCCTTGGTACACAGCCCACCCCCGCGTCCACCCCCGGCGCTGATCAGCCAGGGCTCTAACTAACCGTTGGCTTGTGTGTGTTGCAGCAACCGAAACCCGGTGAGCCGCTCTACGCGCAAGTTAACTTGGAGAAGAAAAAGAAGCGGCAGTATGAGCTGGGGGTGGGCCAGGGACAGGGTCAGGGCCCGGTAGGCGGCGGAGTGGGCGTGGCGGCGATCCCACCGACGGCCGGCCAATGGGTGACCGACGGCGTGGTGGGCGTGCCCGACGGCTCCGCGGCCACCGCGACGGTGAACGTTCCGCCGAACTCGACCGCGGCTTCCGCCGGCGATTCCTGGGTATAACAGAGTCGAAATGCTGTTCCTGGAGCCCAGGGTGCTCGAGTTTGCCTTCCCCCGAGCCTGTACGCCTAGGTTGCCGACGGACGAACGCAGAACAGGAGGAACCTCTCTTGTGTCGGGAGGTGTGGAGACTGGTTTATGGACAGCCCTCGCGCCGATCCTAGACACCGTGCAAGCAAGCAAGCAAGAAGGACCGGGATGATCGTTTTCGTTGCCGATTGTTTTTCATTCTGTCGATGGTCCGGCGTTGTCCGGAAAAGGGCGGAGCTTAGGAGATTAGGAGGTTAAGAGATTAGGATAGAATCCTTTGTTTTGAGGATTTTGGAATCGTTGGATTGTTGAGGGCTGGAGCAGAGGGAATAGGAAGACTGAGGACGGAGAAGGGTGTAGCTTTCTCTCGGTTACCGCGGAGAGAAGATCATCTTAATCTTAGTATGGTTGTTTTCATTGTCGAGGTGATTCCGAAACGATTGCACCCACCACCCAGCACCCCACCCCACGTTTTTGTCGTGTATAGTAGGCGGAAAGCGACTTGTCCGACCACATCCGCAGCAGTAGTCGCACCAATGGCTCTAAACCTTCATTGCACAATTCTAAATTAATATATACACGTAACTATACGCATTATAAATATTATACATATATGTATATTGTAAGGGGTACTCGCTGTGGCGGTTACGAGTGCCGGCGTAAAAGTACTATTAAGATTAAGTAGACGGTATTATTGCTAATATTATTATTATTATTATTATAATTACGATTTACGATGACTATTATTATTATTATTATTATTATTATTATTATTATTATTACTATTATTATAAATACAAGGAGGGTATAAATGAATTATATAAATATATATTATACAGATATATCGACACACCTGCACACAGACGACACACGATTCACACAGGACACATATATGTAGGCGTATCAATTATCATTGTATTACGGAAACTTCTGAGGCTGTGGGTGTGGCATACACGAGGATGCTGAACATATTCGCGAGCTGCACTTTGTTTTTCTTTTAACTGAAGAGAGAGATATATTATATATATACATATAAGAGCGAGAGAGAGAGAGAGAGAAAGTGAGAATGAGAGAGAGAGAGAGCGAATGATAGAGAGAAAGAGAGAGAGAGAAGAGAGAAAGTGTACGTGTGATCGATGTGTGTCTTCACGTCTGATACTGTCCAATAAGCGACTCGGGGGCGGGGCAAGCGGTGAAAGAGCCCGCTCCCGTCAAGAGCCACGTTGTCAATAGGCGGGTATAAACGCCGTTAAAAGTCTGTTAATCATGATGGGAAGAAAACGGAGCGACTAGAAAAATGGTGAAAAATATTCTCGGGTCCCTTTGGACCCGACCGGACGAGATAACGGAACGACAAGAGGGAAGAGTATGTGATGTTCAATGTTATCGAATGTTTAACAGAGATGACATTATTGATAGCCGATATACATATTATATATATATTATATATATATACAAATAAATATATCCTTGTTCTATTTCTTAAATAATATTATAACGACAGTTGAATCGAGCGTGTTCGCGGATGATTATAAATGGAGAAAGTATAAACACCAATCGACGGACGGTTTCTTGTAAAATTCAGAATTCTATATATATATATATATATAAATATATATAATAATTATTATACTAATGAACGTATATGAATGTACGGACGTGGCGACGAAGCACGAGGATCGATCCAGTCGATCGTCCAACAACCCGGTCCAAGCTTCTCATCGATCCGCGCGTTCTGTGTGTGTGTGTATATATACTCATCCTCGAGACGATCCATTCCTTCATCTCTGTCGAACGATCGACGGGATCGACGAGCTATCGTCGCCGGACGGTATATGGTGTTCGCAACCACCATCGTCGACGTACCCACCCGAGGAGAACCATAATCGTCGCCGGAGAGCGACGACAGTCGATCGGCTTAGGCGATCGTTTCTGTCGCGGGAAATCGCTGTAAGACACACCCCGTGTATCGATATCGGCGCTGCGCGAATCTCGAGAAACATATTCGTCTAACTATACATATATATCATATCACAGCCGCGCGATGCCAGCCCTAACTATACCAGAAACTCGGCGACTTCTCGACGCGACGTTGGCGAACGGACGTCGGAACGTCGAGCCTCTACGGAGAACGTTGTCGCAGCGCCGGTGAAAGGGGGAAAACACCCCCGACAGAAACGATCGCGTGCTATCTTTGGACCGCGAGCAGATAACGAGCCACCAATTGACGCCTCTCAGCGAAACGGGAGGCGAATCTTCGAGCTTATCGTTCGGACTGCTGGCGGGTCCCCCGCGCGCTCGCGACGTAGCGTGATAAATAGAGTGCCATGATGCGCGACGCGCTAATTGGCGCGAACCTCTTAGAGGACCCTGGACCATTCCGCTCAAGGTGACACACGCGGCTCCGTTGATCATCCGAGCGACCCTCCGACCACTCTTCGGAGCTCTCTTTCCCCTTCAAAATCGATCACGACGCCGCCCTTTAAGAAGCTCGCGAGAATCGTCCTATTCGAGGACCTTCGAATTCGAACGACTCGGTCCCGGAAAAATTGCCCGGACCCCCCCTTCAAACCCTCCAAAAATACAGCCATCTGGTTCGAGGCGATGCTCGAAGATTAATGTTCGCAGCACAGGCGTGACCTTGAGATTCAGGGTTAAATCTCTCGATATCGAACGCGGAAGGAAGACGGTCGATCCGTGATCGATTCTGGAAGGGACGACGCGAGATGTTCGAAGCAGGATTTAGAGATATAAGATACGGGGGGAGAAAGGAGGGATCGATGAAATCGGTTCCTCGAGGGGGTGTAGCCGGGGGAGGGTCGCCGGGGCCGCCGAGATCGACACGAACGAACCGAGATTTTGATACCCGCTTTTTATCGTTTGTGCGTATAACCGGCGTTTCTAATTTTCTACGAAGAACCGCGGGAAATGGAGGAAAACAAGGAGCAAAAAGAAAAACAAACGCCCCCAAGGTGCACCCACGCACGGAGTTTGTCGGGCGAAGCGTCCCGTGATGATCGACCGAAGAAGAGAAGGAGGAGGAGGAAAGATCGTCGGAACGTTAGAACGACCGTAGGCTGATCGACCGGCCGCCGATACACGTAAAACGAACGATTGATCACGCGAGGAAGAATTTTCTATCGATCCTTACACTTTTACACAGTTTTTACCATTCTATGTTCGCGCGCGAGACCCCCGTGATATCGTTATTGGTTCCGCGATCGTTAACCTTTGTATTGGCGCACGTTTCGAGCGACCATGAATTTTTCCGGCGCGGCTCAGCGTACGGTTTTCTACGGGCGGACGAGGGCGACGCGGCGGCGCCATTTCTTTTCTTTTTGTTCGAGAGAGAGATAAAGAAAAAGAGAGTGAGAGAGAGAGAGAGAGAGAACGGCGCCGCGTTTCAACAGCGATTTTTACGCTGTCTTTTACACGTTTCTCGCCGGCCTAAGCAGCTACCGGGCTGGAACAACGATCGATGGCGATCGCGATCATTCGCGCTCTCGATCTCTCGCGAACGGGGTCGCGGAATCCTGCTCGTCGGCCGGGGGGAGGCCGTTGTAAACAACTTAATTCGATTAAAGGGCGACTTGAAAGCTCGCCATTAGACGGACTAATTGCGTCCCCGTGATTCGTTTTCTCCGGATTTCTTTTTTCTTCCACCACCGCGCGATAAACGATTCTACGAGAACTATGGCGTCCCCCGCGAAGTTCGTTTTCTCTTTTTCTTTCGGCGCGGACGATCGATTGGCAAAATTCTGCAGCTCGGTAGATTCATTCGAAACGATATATCGCCGGAAAGCAGGCGAACACCGTGTTCGGACGGATTTCATGCGAGAAATACGATTGTCACGCTGCTAAGTGCAATATGTATCTGCCAGACGACTATTCGGCGGATAGACAGAATTTGTTTTTCCGGATAATTTCGAGCAGGGTTCCCGGCCCCGAGAATTCACACGTTCACCGTCAAAAACGATCATCGTCACCGACAAACACGAGAAGACTGATAGCGTTAAAAGCCGAGTGGCTCCGTCAGGCCGCTCCATCATCCGGAGGAGAGCGAGAAGACCAGGGAACACATTAACGGAGAACAGGCCGAAGCGACCAACACAGCCGGGACAAGCGATGTCGAGTACGAACACGTCGAAGACGCGAACTTTGGCTTCCGGCGAGAACGACAGGGACGACGAGAGGAGGGGAGGGTCGTGAAACGACCCGATGCAGGATAAAAATGAGGAACGGAGGCGAACGATGCCAGAAAGGGAAAATAACAAAATCTCTCACGTATCTCGCATGCATACGTACACACACATACACATCCCTCATACATACATACATATACATTTGCATACAAACACGTACGCCCCACACAGACACAAATGCATAACGAATAGAAAGACAAAAAAATGATAGGCTACAGTGCTGCATACGTATTTAAATTAAAGGAGCATTAAATAAGCATGGATGTGCATTCTAGATGTATTAGAGGAGTTTCACCCACACATTTAGTATTAATTGTAAAACGTTGTAGTCCGACGTGGGGGCAGGCCAGAGAGTTCACCCCTAAAAATCGTTTTATCTTCGTCTCATCGACGGGACAATCGATATTCGTGTTTCGCGACGATTACTATTCGACGATCGATTCAGTTGTACGCGTCGTCGTCGATGGTTTTATTTACGTTCATTCCGAAGCCTACTTTGCGAGATCGAGACTGCGATTGCGAGAGACTGCACCGAGACCGTGTGCACCGAAAGATGCAACGCGTTCGACGAGCCGCTTAACGATCCTCAAGATTTACCAAATAATTTCACGAAGCGCGCGGAATCGATTCTTCGATCAAACGGATCGAGATCGTTTCGTTCGCGCGGCCGGTGGTTTATGGGGAGAGCAGCCCTCTGACCGCCGCCCCCACCCATCCCCCCATCCAACCCCTCGAAGAGAACCGCGGCGGGGATTGTCATCGTCACGATCATTTATCATCGTCATCGTCGTTTATTTTATTCCACGCTCGCGACAGAGCGTTTCCCGCAGGGATCTACCGACAGAAAGCGAGTATACATTAAGAAAACACGATGTAGGGTATAATGTAATGTGTACTTTTGTTAAGACCGGGGACGAACAGCAAACATAACTGTCATTATTTTATCGACGTCGTATTATTTATATCTTGGAGGAGTACCACGTATATACAATAACTATTAAACTTTAAAGGATAACAAACAAAACAACAAAAAAAAAAGAGAAGAAGAAGAAACAGACAAGATCGACTAGTGTATTTCGAACCCGACTGACAACAATTAAAGAATTTAATTGCGCTGAACGGGGCGGTCTTCTTTATCCACTTCCACGCCCCCGTCCATCATCGATCCATCGACGAAATAAAAAGAAAGAAAGAAACTTTCGAAAACACACTTGGATCGTCTTTCCCACAGTTTTGTATACTCCGTTACACTTTTCACCGCTTCTCTTTTGTTTTCCGTTGCTACGTATCGATTTTCTGCGGGAATGGCTTTTACATCGGCGAAGAAGCAACGAACGCGCGTCGGTCAGAAAAATCAATCTTTTCTCTCATCTGTCCCGCAAATTTTTACGTCCCGTTCCGTTTTTCAGCGTTTCTCCTTTTGCATTGGCCCGGGCACAAACGACGTTCACGCGAACAAACGTCAAAGAAGAGACGCGCGCGCGCGGGGGTGAAACGCGTTTCGCGGGGGTAGCAGCACCAACAGCAGCAGCAGCCGCCGCCGTCGATTCTCCGTCGGTAATTGTTAATTAAGAAACGGATTGCAACGGGAATTGTCAATTTGTAATCGTAAAAGGCGAGTCCCTTCTGGCGATAGAATGAAACAACCGCCCCATCCCCCTCGCCGCCCTTCCGGTCTGCGCCGGAATTGTTCCGTGAATTGTTCGCGTTCCCGGCCGCCATTTTGACGCGTCCCGGCGCAAGCCGAGCCGGCATAAATAAAATCGTCCGAACACTTGGCTCAAATTGTCTCTTTTCGTTCGGGGAATCGAGCCGCCGGCAGGACCGGGAGGAGCTTTTATTTCAGCGGATCGGGCGGAGATTGCACGGGCTGTTAATAGGTTTTGCGAATGATATGTATATAGGAGGGCCGCGTTTCGTTCGTGAATTGATAGATCGATTCGATCCGACGAAGAAGCCGCGTTAAAGAAATGGGAACGAGCGATAAAGGCCCCACGGGGGGAACAGGGGGGGACAGGGGGCTCGATGATTGTATTTTAACAAGAAAATCCTCACGGCTCGGCGAGCAGCGGCACCTGCACACCGCGTGATAAGAAACCGACGACACACATTTCCAATGAGTGAGATCCACTCGAGCGGCGGCCGTCGATGCTTTCAATCGTCGATTTCGCGAAACGGGCGAAATGTGTTGCGAAATTTCGCTCGCTCGGAACCACGAAAACGTTTCCCCCCCCTAACGCCGTGAAAATCTCGGGACGACCCCGTTAAAAAAAAGTTTCACCGTAGAAACTCCCCGTTGGAATTTATTTTTCCGCCTTTAATTCACTGCGATATCCGATCGCATATTTTCACTGATTTATCGGGCGCGATGCGTTTACGGGGATGCCGGTGTCGTTTCAACCCTCCGCGCTCGAAGCTATTCGACCCGTGCGGCTCGAATATTTCTAACACTCTCGTTCTGTGTCGTCGACTTTCTCTCGTTTATGCGAAATTAAGCGCGTTTACACGTTTTACGCCGCGTTTAAGTTCTCAGCGAATTATTAAATTGAGACAGTAAACTTAGGTAACAGTGAACATTTGCAATTGCTTACTTTGCGACGTGGCAATTTTTAATGGTGCCTCTAGATCGCCAAATCGAGTACAAACAGTCGAATCAATTTTTGTTCAACTTCCTTTTATTGACCGCTGTGCGTGCAAATATTTATTTCGTTCGTTCGCAGAATTATTTTACAGATTTTATTCACTCGGTGAAATATTCTCACGATGACGTTGCTAATTTACGCGTTAAATAATGCAATTATAATAATAAATATAGTTAAACATATAGTCAAATAATGTAATTGCAATTGCAATTTCTATGCGATTGTTTTTTTATGCTAACTTCCATGTTAATTGTTGCACGCAAATGTCGATATTTATCGGCTCGCAAGGACTTGTTTCAGTCTTCGTCGATTATTTCAATTATTATTTCGATTATTATAATTATTTCTTGATTATCGCTCGATCAATTATTTTTTATTTGGACGCGGCGAATTCGGTGACGAATTCATTATTATTATTATTATTAGTATTATTATTATTCATTATTATTATTATTTCGATTATTATAATTATTTCTCGATTATCGCTCGATCAATTATATTTTATTTGTACGCGGCGAATTCGGCGACGAATTCGGCACAGCTTCGTCGCGGAGATTTCGTTTGGGAATGGGTTTTATTATTCGGTTCCGTGACCGGATTATGGAAGTTTGCCGCACGGGAAAATCGAGGAGAAATGGTCCCGGCTCTCTCGATCAGGCCGAACAGATTTCATTTGAATCAATCGTAGCCCAGTTTCCTGTTCATTTCACACCCCCGTGGTCGGGTCACGGCATATCCCCATGCGCAACGGAGTCCTTTCGCTTTGTGGGACCCCGCGGAAGAATCCTGGCGCAGTTCGTTGTCGACCAGCTGAACCATTGGAGGTCCTGGAAACCGCAGGACGCGTTCACCAGTCCGCGGAGAGTAATTCTTCGAAATTTCGAAGCCTTGTCGTCCACGACAGCAAGAACAAATTGATTCGAACGACCTTCCGGTAATTAATAATAAATACAGCAATAAATGCAGCCGGAAATAAATATCGCTCATTATAAAGATTACTAAAAATTTCTAACAAATTCGACCAGATGCTCGGCACTGACAAAATCGCCGTAAATATTCATTTTAAATTCGATTGAAAGTGTAAAAACTCGGTTCTCCGTACTCGTCATTTCTCGAACGGTCAAAGTGAATTCGGTTGCTCAGGATTTCACGAAGGTTTAGCGAGATATTCGGAGGTGCTCGCGCGATGACGGACGCGAACAGCAACAAAGGAGCCTCCGGGTCCTCGAAGAGGTCCTTTGAGCAAGCGAAGAAGGAGCTGCATTCGATAGTCGCTAAAATCGAGGAGACTGGCCTGACGAACAGGACGCTGAAGCTGGTCCACGCGCAGTCCTTGCTGCGACCACGGGGATCGAAGATCCGCAAGAGACACCTGTGGATCCTGCTGATCTTCGCGTGGATTCTCGGACAGCTTCTGTGGAACCATGTCCGCGTTGCTCGCGACGACCGAGTAAGTAACGAACACGTTCGGACAATCCCTTCGTTGCTATTTCGACACGTCCGAGCTTCGAGTTTCTTTTCAGCACGATTTTCGTTTCATTTTCATTGCGGCGATATTGTTGTTTGATTGCTCATTCAAGCGACTACTTTTGCAATATCCTTTAACACTCGGACGACGGAACGATTTTTATTGTGAACGTCGTTATTCGACTGCACAATTTTTGGCAATCAGTTCGTATATTCGCATATTTTATTGTCTCCGCGAAATTTTACGTTTCTTTGAGGGTGTATTTTAATACTTGAATTATCAAACCAGTCGAAACGACTGGTCTCTGGTTCTTTATTTTACGGTGACTGATATTATTAGAAGAATGTTCTTATTAATAAATTTTTGAGTAAACTTTTTTATTCAAGCGTTGTGCACAAATGCAATAACAATCTGCCAGAGTAACCTTTGTAATAAATACTAGTATTATTATTATTATATATTATTATATAGTGATATATAATATACCTTTCGTTGCGCAAAAATGCGATGACAATCCGCCAGAGTAACCTTTATAATAAATACTAGTATTATTATTATTATATATTATTATATAGTGATATATAATATACCTTTCGTTGCGCAAAAATGCGATGACAATCCGCCAGAGTAACCTTTATAATAAATACTAGTATTATTATTATTATATATTATTATATAGTGATATATAATATACCTTTCGTTGCGCAAAAATGCGATGACAATCCGCCAGAGTAACCTTTATAATAAATACTAGTATTATTATTATTATATATTATATATTATATTATTATATATTATAAGGTATATTATATATTATTATATATATAGTGATATATAATATACCTTTCGTTGCGCAAAAATGCGATGACAATCCGCCAGAGTAACCTTTGTAACAAATACTAGTATTATTATTATATATCGTTATATTATATTATCATTATTATTATTATTATTATTATTATTATATTATATATATATATATTATATATTGTAAATGAGATCCCGAGGTCCCGAGTGTTAAAGGATCTTCAGGTTGCCTCAGCTTCGCGACTATCTTTCGCGCATAGATTCTGCATGCGAAATTACCGGCGTTGTTCGAGCGACAATCTCATGGAGCGCATTGTTTTCAAGTGTCTGGCGGGGCTGCCCTCCTTCACGCAGAAAATTTTCCGGCCGGCGGAGGATTGCTCGATTTGCCGGGACGTTCAACAGGTTGACAGAATATCGAACGTGGTTCCTGGGACTTTCGAGGAACGGTACTCGCCCGTCCAATTGGTCTGATCGCGCGATTTCCACGCGCCCCGAACCCCCGGCCGTTCGATTTTACGCGATTTTCCGAACAAACGTCGCCCCGATCCTTCGAATTACGCGCGATCCCATGAAATTCGCGGTTCGTATTAGATTCGATTCGCGAGATCCCCGACGGATTCTCGATTTAACTTCTCGAGGCAAATCTAAACCTTTCGATCGTCGAGATCGCGACGATTCGAGCTCAAATTGATCAATTTCGACGGCAGCTACGCTTATTCCGGAAGGCCGGTGGTGGTCACCGACGCCACGACGAACTGGACAGCGCCGGGGATCTTCTCGTTCGCGTTCTTCAAGTCGCTGTACGACGGCGAGAACGCCAACTGCCAGTTCTTCCCTTATAAAACCGGGTTCAAGGGTCTCCAAGACGTTTTCAACATGAGCGCGAGCAGATCCTTGCTGGAGAAGGGCACGGAACCGTGGTACGTTGGATGGTGAGTGAAACGAATCCGTTTTGTTTTTTCTTTCTTTTGTTTTTTTTTTGTGTTTCGAGCGAACCCGATCGACCAAAATATTCCGGAAGCTGAGGCTCGCCCGTGAACCGAGCATCCCTAAGGCTTCGACGACTGCCTTAAAGCTCGCACGTATGCGCACAATCCGGCTAACGAGCTTAGGACCGTCTCTCTGTCTATCCCGCGGGGCAATTAGCCTGCGAGAACGCAACGAATCTATCGCATTTGTTGCACCGCCGGCACGAATCTCGCTCTGCCCGCGAGCTACTCGCTGCGCGGAGGAAAATTTCCGTCGATCGAATTTCCGTCTGTTTTATAAAATATGTGGGATGCTGAAAATTAGCACGCTGTGGCGAAGATATTATTATTATATTATTATATTATTTATTATTATATTATATTATATATATGTAATATAATATAATAATATAATAATAATATATTATATTATATTATTAATATTATAATATATTATATTATTTATTATATTATTAATATTATTATGATAGCTCGTGATGGGATAATAATAATAATGCGATAATAAAATAGAGCGACGCGGAGATGACGATAGTAGAAGACGCGATCCGATGAACCGCGGCGAGAAATAAGAGCGAGCGCGGATAAACATTTGAAAACAATAACACCGAAACTGTCGAGGAACGTTAACATTTACTTCTCATTTATCGAGATTATCAAGAAACGGAAAGATCTTTCTATTCTCTTTTTTCTCTATTCTCGCGTCCACTCTTCTTAATTATATTTTGTACGAAAATCCGCGGCCCGATCGTTTCTGTGTCGCAAAATTTGCAATGCAAATATTTCACCGCATTTGTTTACGATGATGTTTATGGAACCTTCGAAGGAGCAACTGCGACGAGAAGATCGGCAACATCCTCAGGCAGCACTATCAGCGGCCGTATTTCCTGCCGTCCACCGCCGAGACCGAGAAGACCGACTGGATTTTTATGGGGAGCCATGGCTACGGTGCCCCGATGCACGTGAGTATGCCTTTTCGATAACAGGGTGGCAATGGGCAGAGAGACTGTGTGCCGGATATTTTCCTCAAATTTTCGTCTAGGTGGACGACGTGGAGCATCCTTCGTGGCAGGCGCAGATCAAGGGGGCGAAAGTGTGGGTCCTGGAGCCGCCCAGAGAATGTCACTACACCTGCAACAGGCTGGAGATCGTGGTGCAGCCCGGCGAGATAAGTGAGTGCATTTCTGCACGGTAATTGTTTTCCCCCGAGTAACGATCGTAAACAAGATTCGAACGCGCGAGGCATCGATCGTTCCGCGTGCTTCTCTCTCTCTCTCTCTCGATAGAATGATCTTCGATCGCCATAAAATTGTTGATTTTTTTTCTGAGACACGATTTTTCGGTCTTTGCGTTCAAATGTTGTTCGTTGAATTTCGAGTTTTATAGTCAAATTTATATTCGCTGTACTATATTAATAATGTATATTGTTAAATTATTTCGAGTTTCGGCGAATCAAATTTATGGTCGCCTACGTTATATTCGCTATACTATATTAATAATATATATATTGTTAAATTATTTCGAGTTTTGGCAAATCAAATTTATGGTCGCCTACGTTATATTCGCTATACTGTATTAATAATATATATATTGTTAAATTATTTCGAGTTTTGGCGAATCAAATTTATGGTCGCCTACGTTATATTCGCTATACTATATTAATAATATATATATTGTTAAATTATTTCGAGTTTTGGCAAATCAAATTTATGGTCGCCTACGTTATATTCGCTATACTATATTAATAATATATATATTGTTAAATTATTTCGAGTTTTGGCAAATCAAATTTATATTCGTCTATATCATATTCGCTATATTATATATATTAAATTATTACGTAAATTATTATATATATTATTAAATATATATAGTAATATATATATGTATATATATTTATATTAGTTAGTTAAATATATATTATATAATATATAATTTTATATATATATATATATATATATATATATATATATATATATAT